CCTAAAACCCTAAAAACCCTAAAACCCTAAAACCCTAAAAAGTGGTCAGGAATTTAGAAATCGGGAATCGGCCGGACCCGAAATTGCAACACGGGATTGATGATGTACGTGCATCATTGATGATCGAATGCATGCATGATCGAGTGAGTCAATCGAATGCAGGTAATCGAATGCACGTACATGACCGCACGTACATGAGCGCGGGCTCAACCCGCCCAATCGTATGTTGAATTTTCAAGCTAGTCCCCTAAAACTGGAATTAAGAGTGGCCGCGTGCATGCAATAATCATGTGCATGATTATTGAATCCGATGATCATGAAGCAATTGAATCCGGGTTGGCGGCCTAGCTGGCCGCATGTACATCGCCGAAGTAGTGACATGCGGCCCATGGCGAGATGGCGAGAAGGCGAGTTGCCAGCCAGTTCACGAGTCTCGCCATCTGACAGCATGTCCAAATTCACAGGCTAACCATGGTAGTGCATGACACACTACTGAGGGTCATGCACATGAAAGATCATGACAACGATCAATAATTGGTCACAACGAAATTTATCAAACATGCCTGTACCACAGCGCATGATGGCCATTCATGAAACACCAATGCATGTCACGCAATCGTACGTAATTGACAAACATCGGTATTGGATGTTTCAAGCTTCGATCCTCCTCAATCCTCTCGTTGATAGAAATACAGGTAGCCCATGTCCTTGGGCGGGTCTCCGGATGCTGCCACCTTGCTGTCGTTGAACAACACCCATCGGCCGTCCTTTTTGATGTGAGCGACATAATGGCCGGCGTGGGTCGACGATCCCATGTGACTTACGAACGCGAGCAGATTGTACTCTGCAAACAAACAAAGGTTGTCAACACGGCGCTGCTTGTGAAAGGACATTCATAATGCAAGGCGCATTCGGCTGCCGCCTGAGGCGGGCTCCGGTTACAAAGGGACTCCTCCAAATGAAGGACGCCATGTCGAGGTGGTTTCTGGGACCTCGACATAGTGAAGATTTCTAGCTCCCCCAATCTCGTAGCCCCCTGCCTCCACTCGGGGTCAAGCAAGCACAAAAATGGATTGGCGCCTGGGCTGCTCACTTGGGGGTCCGTCGAGGAAGTCGTCCTTGGACAGCGGGCTCCCTGCTGCAGCCCCTCCGGCTGTGGCGGGCCCGGCCGCCTCTTGGACGTCCATGGCGTCGCCCGCCTCGGGGTGCGCAAACACCCACTCCGCAGCAGCCTCCACGTTGCCGCCCTGCCAAGCACGCGACCGACCAGGCATGAGCAGCTGAAGCAGCGAGGGGGCGCACAAGCAGGTCGGTACAACCTCACTCGTGACTCGTGAACTGGCAAACGATAACTATTGCTTGGATGACTAATGCACTGCCTAGATTCAAAACGAACCAAAGGAGCCCAGCATCTACCCAATAAGCTTTGTCAGCAGCTTTATACTGTTCTGTGGAGCGAGCTTGGACGCACATGCATATGCCGCATGCTCATGAATGATGGAAGTCACTGTTTAAGTTGGTCACGTGAGGTGGTCATCGTGCTGTTCTTCTCTGGTGTCTCCTGGCCCCTCACCGTCTCTTGCAGCGCTCTCCGCGCGGCGGCTGCTGAGAAGCCGATGGCGGTCAGCGTCTCCACGGCGGCCTCGTCCACGAGCACCGCGGGCCGTCCGCCGGGCGCGGGCAGCGGACTGTCGATATCTGCACGCACGCGTCAGCAGCAACGCAAGGTCACGACGGACACCACGGAGCCGGGCTGACAACCTCGAACCAACCATGCTGGCAGATGGGGAGGATTCTACCCCGGATTCTGACCCTAGATCGGGTGCAACTTCTTAGAGCGGAGGTAAGCGAGGAGCTGAAAGCGGCTGCCTCATGGGCCTCGCCTGCAATCTATCTAGGCTGCCAACTCGAGGTGACCCACGCAAAAAGACGGCAGCCCACTGGCACGCATGCGGTCTCTTCCGGGTACATCGCGCGGTGCCGCACCTGGATCGTCCATGTGCGCGAGCAGCCAGTTCATGGCTTCCTCCGGCCCCGCGTTCTGCGTGTTGAGCGCCGCCTTCTCGCAGCGCACCCGCGGGAAGCCCATGTCCTCCAGCGCGGACACGATGCCGGGGTCGGGCACCGGGCCGGCGGGGGCGGACCCTGCACCCATGGCCACGGAATGCTGACGTTAGCAAGATTAGAAGGCTATAACTGACTGTAAAAACCTACTGACCTTTGTCCCTGGCTGATCCGCAGCCGTGTCACGTCATTGCGTCTTTGCCAAAACATTCGAGCACGTGCAGCCTGCATTCGGCTCGCAGGGCGTCGGGCAACCAATGACATTAGTAAAGAACGATGTCTCAGGCAGCGTCCTGCTTAATTCATCCTGCCGCACAAATTGCAGAAGTGCCTGGCTCACCTGGCGCGTCGTCGTCGTCGGGCAGCTCTTGTTCGTCGGGTGCGGGGGCGGCGGCGCGCAGCGGGGCGAGGTCCAGGCTGTCGGGCACGTCCACGAAGACGTCCAGCTTGCGCGGCACCCAGCCGGCGTCCAGCACGAACTTGCGCATGTGCAGCACCAGCAGCGGCGGGAACGTGCCCAGCGCCGCGCTCTTGCTCGCGTGCGTCTTGCCCCGGATCGCCGAGCTGTAGAAGTCCTGGATCGTCTCGGGCGCCGCAAAGGCCTCCAGGCAGGCAGAGAGGGGGACGCGCGGCCGGACGACGTCATCGGCAGCTCTGGGGATAGAGGAGCGACGTCAGCTTCAGGTCAAAAGTAGGGGACCATACAGCGCGTGAACCATTTTTTCCGACTGTTGAGGATGCGAGGACTTCCTTCGAAAGAGCTGCACATCCCCAAGGAAGGGCAATAAACCGAAAAAAAATCTGCTGGCGCACAACCACGACGCAGCAAGAAGGCAAACTGCGACTCGCTGAGAGCAACAAGCCTTGCAGACCGTGAAGATCGAACCACTCCCTCCTGAGCCTTCTGGGGGCACAGGCCAAGCAGCGGCTTCCTGCACTCGTTCGCCTGGAGCAGAACAATCCGGAAGACAACAGTCTTCCCGTGCCCGTGCCCCCCTTTTCTTTCACTCACAGCTTCTCCCCCGCGGCCTCTGTGGCGGCCTTGCGCTGCTGGTACGCGGCCACCTCGTCGGCGTTGATGGCCTTGTCCAGCGGGACCTGCAGGCTCAGCACGTTGTCGCTGCGCGCCGTGCGCCGCACCCGCCCCGACGCCCCGCACACGATGCGCTCCTGCACCTGGAAGCGGAACGCACGCGCAGGGTCCCCCTGTGGCGCGCCTCGGCTGCTTTTCTCGACGAGGTCCAGCAGGTGCTGATAGAACTCAAAGGCGTCCTGCTGGCGCGCACTGCTGAACTCGGGGTGGCCCTGCCCCACCAGCGCCTTGAACATGCGCGGCGCTATGCCCTCCTGCCCCTGCATAACCGCACAGACGCGCCTGAGCTAAAGTCTCCTTCACTATGACATCTGTTTCATTCTTGTGGGAGGGCTGAAGAAAACAGAACATGCAATTTGCTTTTAAAGACTGCGACCGTTGATCTAACAAACGAAGCGCTCGACGCAGAGACTTGCTACAGCCAAGACAGAATTTGGTTCCGGAACACTTGCATGGCGCAAAGCTGGCCTTCAAAGATGTTGCTGCTTGACGGACAAACAACTTTTCAACCGAGATCAAAGAAGAGCAAGGACTTCCTGCTGGCTACTTGCGCCAGTCCATGCGGCAGTTGACAACATTCAAGCGATTGAAACCCAAGCTCTGCCAGACTTTCGTATGCTACGAATGCTGCAATTGTGTGAAAGTATCGTCGCGTACCGGCGTGGAGGTTTCCGTGCCTGGCGTGGTGTCGCAATCGGTGGACGGCAGCGAGTAGGCCCCCGACAGGACGCCGTGGGCGAGCTTGGTCCTGCAAGCAAGCACGGGGGGCGCGCCGCGGTGAGGACGAGCGGGAGGCAGCGCCCGTCAAACAGGTGTTGACGCACGGCCACGAGAAAGCGAGAAAGGTGCGGCGGGCAGCACTTATTTGACGGGAGAACTTGCCAAAACCCAGCTTCTCTTGTGAGCGCAGACCTATGCCGGAAGCTTCCACCGGAACGAGCACGTGAGTGGTAGCGTGCCGGCTCACATTTGAAAGTTGAAGTCGAGGGTGGGGTCGCTGGGCGCCTGCTTGAAGGCAGTCTCGAGGTCCGCATCGTTGAAGTACCTGCGGGCCAGCAATAAAGTCGGGCTTTCGCTTCCACGCAAGCGGGCAGCATCTCGAGAAAGGAAGTTGCTGTGCAGAAGGCTGAGATGATAGAAAATGCTGTCTACAAAGCTGTACTGCTCTTATCACGGAAGCTGACAACCGTAAAGATTCACAGAAGCCGTTTACTGTCCCCGCCATGCGGAACGACATCGAATCTGCGCACCTCGTTTGGAAGTCCTTGGTTGTCAGAAGCGCCTGAACCACGGACGCAAGGTAACAACTGCAGAAGTGAGGCAGATCGGTGAACGTGTTAGTAAAAGAACGAGAAGGTAGGAACGGAGTGCCGTCCGAGCAGACGGCTGTACACAGGCTGTCCGCGTGAGACAGCTGTTTTCCTTCGTTTAGTAGACGAATCGGAGCGCCCAGACACAGCCCCCAGTCACCGTTTCACAGCTAGACTCGTTGCACGAGGACCGCTCCAGCAGATTGCACGAGAGGACTGCCGCTTTTTATGGAAACAGTTAGCGGACGTGGCTCCACCTGTTCCCCAGGTTGGCGAGCCCCGTGTAGCCCGGCCCAAAGAGGGGCTCCAGCTGCTTCCCCTTCTCTTGCAGGCGCGTGAAGTCGAAGTTGAGGTTCTGGTCCAGCTCCAGCTCCGCCGTCGTGCTCTCCGTCTGCAGCCACCAGGCAAACACACGCGACAGCTCAGCGCTCAGCGCAACGTCGGGCTCGGCCCACTGCTTCGAATCAAACGACAAACGCCGCTCCTATGACCTTCGTGGAAACATAGAAGAATGTTACAAACGATCAGATGTACAATACCGTCCATGTTGGTCACTGCCCTCTAGAAAAAGCCGCACGCTCTCAATAAGAGAGGAGCCTACATTGAAAACCAGACCGTAGGCAGATCAGGCAATGAGGATAGGGTGAGTCGACCGGTTGAGTGTTGCAGGAGTGGAGGCTTACCTTTTGGAGCGCAGAGAAGTCGATGCCGAAGTGCTGGAGGTGCTTGGCCAGGAGCGGGTCTTCCACGGCATCGTCCTCGGGGTACGAGTACACGTCTGGGGGGAAGTCGAGGAGAAGATCTGAGACCCCTTGAGAGCTCCTCTCAGCCGGCGCGGAGATCCCATATCGAACAAGAACTGGTGGAGCGTCCCAGTTGCAGACCTTCGATCTACCAAACTAAATGTAGAGACCTCAATCAGCCGCGAAAGTCACCTGCTTGGGTGAGGTCGGCGGTGATGGTCCCCAGCTTGACGACCAGCGGGTATTTGGTCTGCTGGTAGTACTCGAGCGCGTGGTTGTTGCCCCCGGTGCCGTCCCAGTTCTTGCGCCCGCACAGGATGCTGCCGTCGCTGAGATTGAGCCACAGGTTGTCAGTCTTGTCGCAGAAGCGGCAGCGCCAGCCTGTCGCCCCGATGCGCACCCCGTTGTCCGCCTGCTGCAGCCCCTCCGCGTACTTGCTCACCACCTTTGCGTCCGCCGCCCACGCCGCCAGCTGGTCGCGCCGCTCCGCGCCCTGCGCAGCCAACACCTGCTCCACCGCCGAGCGCACCTGCGCCGCACAACACAGAAAGAACGTGGGCAACCAGCGGCGCATGTCATCCAAGCCTGCGGATGCACTTTGGCAGCGCCAGCGGCACACGTTGTGAGTTGCAACGCCCGGTGCCTTTCTAAAAACACCAAAGGACTAGCTTTTGGAAGTTTTTATTAAAGCGTTTGAATGCATCATTACGTCACTTCCAGCTTGCTTGGTGAAAGGAAACGACTGTACTCAGCGCGAACTGATGGCTCAGGAGGTCAAGCCTGGATTTGAGGTACTCAAGATAAGGTACTCAAGAAAAGAAGTGTGCTTCTGAAAGCAGTCACAGCAAGCTTCAGCACATGCAGATTCATGAGGTGGAGCGCTCAAGGGTACCTTTTCTGGAAGGTTGACATCGGGATATGGCAACTCAATGAAATTGGGAAGGATGCAGATGCTCAGGCTTTCATCATACTCCTCCTGCTTGTCCGGAAAACCCCCATCAACACCTGTGTACAATAAAGGCCTGCTGTAAGATTTTGTCGCTCTAAGAATCTTTCTCCCACTCAGATGATCAAGAGGAGAGCCATAATGTTGGAAAATTGTCAATCAAGTTGGCTCTCCTTTTCAGCAGACACTTGCATCTTTATGTCAGCTGAATTGTACATTGATCCTGGTTCGAGTTCTTACTGATAAGACTATGAAGCCAGATGGTTGTGCACCAGGAGCATGTTCTCGGCAGAGTACTGAAAGAAGTGCGCCAACACAGTTTCAGGTGGCTGCTGATGCTGCTTGCAGTACTACGCTTCAAGTTAGGAAATAGGCACCTGCCAGGCAGCTAGGTCAGGCGGAAAAAGACTTCAGAAGCCATCAACCGTCTGAAAGGACGGCAGATGTCTGTATAGGTCTGGCAAATTCTGCAAGGTGGCTGGATTGAGCGCAGTTACTGAGTAAGTGTTCCAATTTCTGGGCCTCACCAATAGCGACGATGGTTGGTTTTTTGCGTGGCTGCTCCTCCTCTGGGTCCGGTCTGCGTGTCTTTTTGATGTGAAGGTACACCGGGTCCCCTGTCTTCTCATAATTCCATTTCACGTAGTCCCGCCCGAACCCCAAGAAAGAATTGAGGTCCACATACAGGCCCCCTTCAGATGTCTGCAGTAACATGGACAAAGTCAGCAGAAGATCCAAAGGGCAGCTACTGATGTTCGCAGAAGGCAGAAAGAGGCTGATCAAGTGGACCGCTATCCTTGGGACGAGCGTACATGGAAGTTGTCTTGCACCACCACCACCGCCAAGTGCATCTGCATATCAGCTCAGCTCAGTGACTCAGCATAGCCATGACCCGTGGTAGCATGATGTGCAATTGATCCGCTGCACTCACCGTTGTATCGAAGGAAACACAGCACTCCTCTTTGTACACTTTGTTTGAGCCGCTGGGGATGCGCACTTTGCTCAGGTTTGTGCGCAGGATATCCATAGCTCCTTCCATCAGAAGTGCAAAAGCCCTTGTGGTGCTGCCAATCAATCCACGCTCCTCTAACAGCAAAAAATATTGCACAGGTCGGGGCGTTTTTTTGAGCGAAAAT